CTTTGGGCTTTTATTTGTTTCTAGATACTCAGTACCTTGGACATTCTAGGCAGCCACTACCATCTATTTTTTCCTTTTTGATTTTTGAGACAAGATTTTACTAAATGGTACGAGCTGGCCTTGAACTGAACGTAACCCAGGCAGGCCTTGAACTTGGGATCCTTCTACCTCAGCTTCCCCCAGAAGTAGAGATTACAGGCCTCTGCCATCATGCCTAGCTCCACTATATTTCCTATTCATTTCTCAGATTGGCTTTAGTGTTATCCCTAGTTTGATCCATAACTAAAATTACTACTTCTTGGACCAGGGATATGGCTCAGTTGGTAAAAGTTTATGCTACACAAGCCTGATGATGAACTCAGTTTGATCCCTAAAACTCACATAAAGGTAGAAGGAGACCAACTCTCACAAGTTGTCCTCTGACCTCCATATCTATACTATGGAGCATGACCCCCACCACACACAGCAATAATAATATTACTATTATTAAAAAATGAATTATCTGGGTGTTGGTGGCACACACCTTTAATCCTAGCACTCAGGAGGCAGAGGCAGGCGGATCTCTGTGAGTTCGAGGCCAGCCTGGTCTCCAGAGCGAGTGCCAGGATAGGCTCCAAAACTACACATAAGAAACCCTGTCTCGAAAAACAAAATAATAATAATAATAATAATAATAATGGGCTGCCCTTCTAGAGGACCGGGGTTCAATTGCCAGCACCCACAGGGCAGCTCACAACTATCTGTAACTCCACTTCCACGGGATCTGACACCCTCATACAGACATATTTGCAGGCAAAACAACAATCCACATGAAATAAAAATGAATAATTAGGCTGGGCTTGGTACCACTGAGCCATCTCTCTCCAGCCCCAATAAAAATTAATCTTGGTGGGTGGCGGTGGCACACACTTTTAATCCCAGCCCTCAGGAGGCAGAGGCAGGCAGATCTCAGTGAGTTTGAGGCCAGTCTGGTCTATAAAGTGAGTTTCAGGACAGCCACAGCTGCTACACAGATAAACTCTGTATTGAAAAACCATAAATAAATAAACAAATAAAAAATAAATATTAGTTTGGAAAATTAGTTAAAATAAATTACTACCTTAATCATTTCTATTGTTTTTAGAATAGAATTCATTGTCCCTAGCATGGTCTAAAAAGCCCTACATAATTGACTTCTTCCTACTTTGACCTCATATCCCAATACTCTCCCTTTGACTCACTACCCTGTAGCCTTCCCATGACTCTGAACTAAAGTTGTCCCTTAACATCCTTGGGAAATTGGTTACAGGACACCCACCCAATGAATAGCAAACTCTGGATATACTCAAGTCCCTTATATAAAATGGCATAGTCTGAAAAAAATGGCATAGTCTGTGCCACATAGCATGAATCCATCTCCAAAAAGCAAAAATGTTAAAGCATTTGTAACTCAACTATACATATCATCCTATGTGCTTTTTCATCTCTAGAGGACTTACAATACTCAATACAATGTGAGGCTCTGCAAATACTTGTTATAGTGTGTTGTTTAGGGAATGATGTCAAGAAAAAAATCTGTGCATATTCAATACAGGTTTTTGTTGTTGTTTTGTTGCATTTTTTGGTTTTTTGAGACAGGGTTTCTCTAGCTATCCTGGAACTAGTTCTGTAGACCAGGCTGGCCTTGAACTCACAGAGATCCTCCTGCCTCTGCCTCCCAAGTGCTGGGATTAAAAGTGTGCGCCACCACCACCCGATTTTGTTGCTCTTTTTGATAAGGCTTTCTCTGTGTAGCTCCAGCTGGAACTTGCTTGCCCAAGGACTAGGATTAAAGTCATGTGCCACCATACTTAGCCTCTTTCCAAGTCTTTTTGACTTGAGGTTGGCTGAATCAGTGAATGCCAGTTCTTCACGGGGTCTTTTTATGTCCTGAACCCTTCCCAGGGGCACATTTTCATGTCCTTTCTTCATTTATTGATTCTCATTCTTTCAATCTTATCTTCAGTTTCAAGCTTTGTCAGACCCCTAAAGCTAAACACCACCAATCCCCAAATTCTTTTCCTGTCACTCTGTTCTTCTCATTCACAGCCTTTTGCAGTTTATAATTGTGCATGTTTATGTGTTGTGATCTTATGTTCACCTATGTCATGTCGTCTCCAGCACTGGACTGTTCATTGTGAGGGTGGAGTTTTTTCAGCACTCTGTGGTTTGTAATTCTTACTGCTGCATAGCTAATACCTCACATGGAGCCTAGACTACATGCTCAAAAGACATTCATGGAGTCAGCTGAAACTTAGATAAATGAAATGGAATTAGGGAAAAGTGAAGAGAGGTTCATGCAAAGGCAACAAAACGTGCAAAAACTCAGCTGAAATCCCAACACCCAAGAGCCTGGAGCAAGAGGATTGATGCAAGTCCAAGGTCAGCCTGAACTACAGAATGAGTGAGACTCTGTCTCCAAAAACCAAAGTAGCAAAACAAAACAACCAATGACCTTCAGAGGTTATATACATGTTATGGAATTGTCAAAGAAATTTTTAAAAGGAAAAACAAAATAAAACAAAACAAAGAAACCTCCAGAGGATCAATAGACCAAGCAACAGTCTTAGATTTTTTCAACTTTGACTCAACCACTGGGGTTTAGAAAGGCTAGTAGAGAGCCAGATCATAAAGAGCCCTGCTGAACCTTCTATGTTAAGATTCTTTAGAACCCATGGGAACTTGTAAGTTTCTAAACATGTGAATGATATGATTTAATTTCAAAAGATATAGACTGGCCAGGTATGGTGGCACATGCCTTTAATCTCAACAGTCAGGAAGCAGCTGAAGAAGAATCATAAATTCAAAGCCTACCTGGGCTACATAGTGAGACCTTGTCTCAAAAAGTGTGTGTGTGGAGGGGGGGGGACTGAAGAGATGGCTCAGCAGTTAAGAGCACTGGCTGCTCTTCCAAACATCCTGAGTTCAATTCCCAGCACCTACATGGTGGCTCACAACCATCTGTTATAAGTCTGATGCTATCTTCTGCCAGGCAGGCATACATGCCAATTTAGCATTCATATACATAAAATACATGAATAAATAGACATTTAAAAAATACAGACGGCCGGGCGGTGGTGGCTCACACCTTTAATCCCAGCACCTGGGAGGCAGAGGCAAGCAGATCTCTGTGAGTTTGAGACCAGCCTGGTCTACAGAGGGAGTTCCAGGACAGGCTCCAAAATCACAGAGAAACCCTGTACCGAAAAAAAAAAGCAATAAAAATACAGACTGCAATAAAAGCAATAAAAATATAGAGAATAGATTCCAGGATTCGCTTGCCTTATAAGTGATTGCATTTTGCCTAGCTTTCATGAGACCCTGGGTTTGATGCCCAGAGATAAAAAAGTAATTAAAAATAGATTCCAGAGAACAAGAGTGAAACAGGGGAACTGTGAAGATAATGCAGATTAGAAATTGTGCTGGCCTAAACCAGGACAGTGACAATGGAAATCAAGATACTGTATAAATAGACGTTAGAGATGTTCCAGTAAATGACAGAACTTGGTAATTGCATGGAGAGTATAGGATAGAGAAGAGTCGGTATAACTCGGGTTTCTACTTTTGACCTAGATCCTTCACTCAAGGTAGGTACAAAAACACAAACTCATTGAGAGGAGGATATTTTGAGTTGGGGAAGAACTGAGATTTTAGGTTTCTCTAGGATATTCAAGCAATGCTGTCTTATAATCAGCTCTATGTCTGGGCCAGGAGAAATGTCTGGATTTGAATTATTTTAGAATTATCAGCAAAGAACTGATAACCAAAGCCATGGAAGCAAATGAGACACTGAAGGACCAAAGAGCTCAAGAGAAGACAACAGAGCTCAGGCCAATGATACCAAGAGACAAGGAAGAACCTGAAAAGGAAAAAAGGACGAAAATAAACATTGTATTATGTCATAGGGAAGTAATTTCAGGAGGAAGGAGTGGTCACTAGCGCTACCCAAATGCTACCCAAAAGCCAAGAAGGATGACCTCTGAAAAGATTCTTTTGGATTTAGTGACATAAACTATGGTAGATCTTGATAAGAAAGCAGTTTGGGAGAAGTAGTGGAGGTGAGTTGGAACAGGGTTAAAGATAAGTAGGAGGTAGGAAATGAGGTAGTTGAGTGTGAGCAAGTCCTGAGTCATTTGTGAAAAAAAAGAATGTTTGGTGATTGTTTTTTAGATGAAAGATACCCGAGGTGTATTTAAAGTCGAGAAGGAACACGGGGACAAATTCAGAGATTTGGTGGCAAGAACTCAAGACAAGACCTCTTCTCTGGTGTCTTCTGTTCACTCCACGTAGTAAGAGGTAGGGTTTATTTGCTTAATACTAGGGGGCAAATTCAAGATGTTGGGGAGACTAGATTTGAAATGGCCACTGTGGGTGAGATTTAAATAGGGAATAGTGGGGAAATGCAAGAGAAAGTTGACTACTAGTAGAGCGATAGGTCAGTTCTGAGGAACTTGTAGAAGCTGGGAAATGAGGGTTCCTCATGATACAAATCTAGAAAATTGTAGTATTATCCAGTAGTGTTCAGCTGCCTGGGCACAAGTATTGGGGGGAAAGGCAAACAGTTGGACCGATTCAGGATTGGGTTGCTGCCAGTCGGATAACGGACAAAAGAAGGAACTAAGGCTGCAAGAGTGGGAAGTAAAGGACCATGAGATCTGGCCTGAGGAAATGAAGATTTGCAAAGGATCACTATGAGCCAAGCCTAGCTTAACTCCGAAATACGTGGAAAGGCTTCTTTGTAGGAGAGTGATGGGAGAGCGGAAGAAGACATGAAATACGACGGAAGGGTAGATTTTGGAAATCGAGCTGGGAGACTTGCCTATGTGGGACCAGGGAAGGATGGGAAGGAAAACTGAAGGGAAGTTCAGGGCCAGCAGAAAAGGAGGGCCTTAAGCTCCTGCGAGAGGTGAAACTGGCCCAAGCGAGGGGGCGTGGCCAAGCTCAAATCCCGACGAGGGGGCGGGACTCTAGTAACTGGGTCCCAGCGCCGCGGTGGCTGCGGCTGTCTCAGCAACGGCTCGCGCTTCCCCATCCCCCCCAGTTCCCAGGGCTCTTCCCGCCCGCCGCGGTGGAAACCCAGGCCCAAGGCGGAGAAGCCCGGTCTGGTCCGTTCCTCTGTTCGCGAGGCTGGAGCATCGTCCTGGAGGACTGCCCAAAGGCAAGCCTCGCAGCCAGCCGGAGAGCGCGGCGCACACGCGCGCCTCCCGGCCACGGCCGTCCTCTCTTCCCTCCTTCCTCTCCTCTCTCCCCTCCCCTCTCCTCCGCCCCCAGCCTCCGCTGCGGCGGGAGG